TTAAAAATTATTTTATTTAAGTTTGTTTATTTTAATTTGGTCTGAGAGGAACAGAGAGAGAGAGAGAAAGAGAGAGAAAATGAGAAAGTAAGCCGCCAGGCCCAGGACTCAAACCATCGTCGGCCATGTGGGAATCCAGTACCCTTAACCACCATGCCACCTGCTGACCCCTGGTTCATCTTTTAAAACCCATATTATGTATCACCTCCTCTGTGAGGCTTCCCTGGTCCCCTTCTTTCCCATCCCCTTGTCCCTCAGTATAGAGTTGATTATTTCCTGTCTATATTTGGCAAACATCTTTTGTTATATTGCATGTTTGTTCATGTTTTCTCTCCCCTAATTCTAAAATCACTGTGGCAGGGGCCAGCTGTTACCAGTTCTTGCCCTGGGACCAAATACAAAGAAGGACTGAAATATTTGGTGAAAAAATAAATGCCATTGGGCCAGCAGTTGGCATGGAGGTTAAGGCAGCTGGATCCCACTGGCCAACTGCACAGTTCAAGTTCCAGACCTGGTGGCTTTAAAAACATGCTGAGCATGTGTGCGTGCATGCATGACCAAAATCCCAAGGGGATAGTGAAGGAGAAAGGATCGCATGGCCACTCCCCCAGGGGAAGGTTCTTTCTCACTTTTCTCTCTCTCTCTCCCTCTCTCTGTCTCTGGCAAGTGCACATACCCTATAACAAACTTTAAAAATAATAGATTAAAATGACACTTCAGTTTCTCCAAGAAGATATTTTAAAGAAAACAAGAAAATAAACCATGCTAATTTTTATTTTAGAGGGGGAAATGCCATGTATAAGTAAGATATTGTTGAGTAATTTAACAGCAACGGGAAAGTCTTGATAAAAGTGGAATAAAATGGGATCCACAATAGATATCAAATCAAACCCTCTTCCTTTTTGGCAGTAGAGAGGCAAAAGATTTAGGAAATTGACAGAACCTCACTTCCCATATCTAGGTATTTTGTCATCACTCAATACAATTAACCATCTACAGTGAAGACACTTGGTGCAAAGCATCAGGCCAAACACTACGGCAATAAATGGAAAATTCTCCTGTTCTGGGCAGCTGCTGTTCAACCATTATAACATGAATTGCCCTGGAGCACTCGATTCAACTCACATCATTTCCATTGATGTCAGGGTGAAATCCCATTGCATATCACTTCCCGTTAGCACTTGAAACTTGTACATGCGTGCCCAAGTTTTGCTCTGCTCTCGTTACTGTCGTTGCCCACACAGCATTTTATTCATACCTCTCTGAGAGTGATTTTCATTGTATATTCTGGTTAGTTGTACACATTTCTATCTTCTCAATTGTGGGTCAACAAAATAAGATCTGTAGGCCAATCCTGGCTTGTTCCCAGTTTTTCTGAATACAGTTGTGTTGGAACACAGCCACACTTGTTACTTTATGTATTGTGTATGGTTGCTTTCGTGCCACAGTGGTGGAATTGAGTAGTTGCGACAGAGATCCTATGGCCACAAAGACAAAAGTATTTATTACCTTGCCTTTTGTAGATGTGTCCTGACCTCTGTTTATTAGGTCATTGGGAAAGTCATGATGTATTTTTCTACGTTTTTCTAGGCAAAACTGCATCATGACAGCCCAATAATAAATTGGGAGATCATTAAAGGCAAGGGTTATGCTTTATTCTTTCTCATTTCAGCCTGAGCATCAGTACATTTAATGGAATCCTTGAATGCTCGAGTCCTACTATGTATGTATTGGGCACTGTTCTAGGTGCTGACAGTACATCTGTTAAAGAACAAAGCAAAATCTGTTCTCATAGAGCTTATATTCTAGAGTTGAGGACCTCAGGGAGAGATGGAGTGATGGACAAGCTAATAGAACATTGAGTGATAAGTGTTAGGGAGAAAAACAAACTGAGATAGGGGAAGAAGGATTGCCACAGTGGGTGGCTGGCCGGACTGGTAGTAGGGGAATTGGTTTTATGTGGGTTCACAGAGAAGGTGACACTGGAGCAGAGAGTGACACTAGACACCAGAGACCTAGCGAGTGTGAGCAGAGGATGTGCTTGGCATGTTTGAGGAATCACAGGAGACCATGCACCCAGAGTGGAACCAGCAGTGGGTAGCGTGGGAGGAAATGAGCTCACTGTCTACAGCTCTGTTTCCTGGGGCTGATTTTATTTTGGTGAACTTCCCTCTGAGTAAGATGAGAAGCTGCTGGAGGGTAAAGCAGAGAGGCAGGCTCTGTCATGTTTGAGCAGGCTCTCTGACTTCTGATTGGAAGAGAAACTCTAGGGGGAAGGGCGAGAGTGAGCAGAAGCTGGGAGACCATCAGGAAAGGTCTTGTGATAGCTCAGGCATGACAATAGAGGTGGAGAGATGAGAGTGCCAGATTCTGGCTTCCAAGCCAGTTTAGTGCCTGGCATACAATAACCAGTTTTCTCTTGAATAAGTGAATAAAATGTCAGTGTTTTCACTGGAGTCCACAGTAGAATCACCTCTAGACATTCTGACAGCACCTCTCCACGATGGAATCCTGGCACTTGCATTAAAAGCACAGGCATCACAGGGCTGGATGGTGGAGTAGCAGTAAAAGTCAGTGCTCTGGGAGGCTGAACCACCACTCCATGGGAATGTTCCAGACTCATATTGAGAGACCTCCCTGAGAATACTGGACACTTGCTTGCTGTGATCCAGGGCTGTTTGAAACTGGGAGTGGGTTGAGGCATTTGGGCCCTGTTAGGGGTTCTCTCTCTTATCACAAAGGAACGAAGTATAAAAAGAAAAAAACTTTAAAAATTATAAAAATACAACCATCATAGCTCATCCATTCCCCCTGTCAAGATCCATTGAGAGTTCTTGTTTTATCTGAGAACAAAGTAGACCAAAGGGCTACATTTCCCCTTTAATTTGTAAGTTTCTGGTAAGAAGAAAGTTGACTTTGAGAATTTTTCCCTATGATTAACCAAAATCATGATTATTATTTTTTTTACTTGCCAGAGGGTACATAAAGAGACAGAAGAAAACACACAGAAAGAGACAGAAAGCATCCCCCAGTAAGGCACAGTCATGCTATAATCCCTTCTCCATTTCTTCCTCCTTTTGAGATTTTGGGTATACATGCACACATGCCCGGTGTGCTTTTCAAACCACTGGGATTGGAATTTGAACCATTATAAACCATGTAGGATCTGGCTTCCTTAAACACTAGGCTACAGAGCCAGCCCAATAATGATTCATTTTTTCCAAGCTATCTATAGAAAAGGTTGACTGTGACCAACTGGGGACAAGAGTTTCTTATAGTAGCAGCCCTAGAATTTCCATTGCAGATTGTGGGAAGATGACCAAGCTGTCAGCTTTCCAGTGGTAGTTGTTCCTTTATTCTTTCGTGTGTAGTAAATATTAGCTAATGCTTTTAACAAACTCAGAATACACTTTTAATGATCAGTTAGCATTTGGTTGGTAGCAAGGTGAGCCTTAACTCTATGGAAGCACCACATGGTATTTCTGAGGCATGCTATTGCAGAAAGGGTGAATTTTGTAAATAGGTGGAGGTGCGAATGCAAATGACCAGTTGTCAGAATCACTAAACATAGCTTTGAATGTGAAGCCTTCCCTTTAATGTGGCAGAGCCCCTGCCACTAGCCCTCCTCCCCCACCCTGGGGGTGATTTGAACCTCTCACCACTGGATGAACTGCAGTATTCTCCCACAGCCTGCAGTGGGCTGCATCTAATATTCCCAGCACTGTTCCGTAGCCCTCTACTAATGGCCTTGAAAGGGAGAAGGTTCAAAGAGGCTTGGTTCCCAGGCCTGCTAATGAGCATGAGGCCTCTTCACCCTTAATGAACCGAGGTTTTGTGTGGGATTCTTTGCCTTACCCTTTTAGAAGGGAAGGCAGGCGAGAGTTCACAAAAGCAGCAACGTCTTTATGGCGAGAGGAGCGTGCAGCTGGGCTACCCAAAGGTGGCCTGGAGAGGAGCAACAAAGCTGGCGGAGGTCGTGCCCAGGCCAACACGGCTCTGAGTGTAAGGCTAGACCTCCTGCCAGCCGGCTTGTTGCTGGCAAGTGTGACAATCCTGCGATGGGAGTTTGCAGGACTGGAGGGTCCCTCAACAGCAGTCTCGTACTCATTATCATTGCATAACTTAGCAAATGCATATTAAAACCATTAAAATCCTCATTCTAATTAACTAAGTCGTTGTTCCAAATATTATTCATTGGTACCGGAGCTCACCGCGGCCACGAAAAAGGCCCCCAGATATTTTTCTCTGCTTCTCTCTGCCCACCCACATCCAATTGCTGAGTTAAACAATAGAATTGTTCAGAAGAGTAACGAACACATGCCAGAAATATTGCCTCTATCACAACTATCTTCGTGGAAGTCAGTGTTTTTTCCTCAGGAATATATTTTGGAAAGTGACATCTCATATTTAAACCTCATCACTTCTGCTGAAAGCTGAAATCTGTGCATTGATTTCATGTGCATTTCATGCCCATTTCGACAGTAACTGCCTTTCTTTCATGCTAAAGCCTGGTTTTATATTGCAGAGTCAAAGTCCTTAAAACATGTATACATTCACATGCAATTTTATAAATTCAAAGTTATGAAAGGCTCGATAGTGCATTAATGAACGTTTCTGCATTTTAATTTCCAAGGCAAGGTAGAACCTGGCTGTGACACAATAAGATTATTGTGATTAGATATAAATTATGGAAATTATGGTTTCAATTACTTGCCAATTTGGAGTGAGACCTTTTAGAAAACAAATCAGAAAAATAAATAGCTACTTTCAGTGACTGGAACTTTGAGAGAATGTGAGCTGGTGTGCTGGCTCCAGGTGCTTTCCCCTCCTTCTTTCCACAGTGAATAGAAAGAGAATTATCTGGAATGTACACACATTTACCCTTCCATGACCTGTGTTTGGAATTGTTCTGAGACACATTCAAAGCTGACAGCACCCCACCTGCCCCCGCCCCCGGCTGACCCTCTCGTGCCTAATCAAATCTTACGTTCTGTTTCCAGATAGCTGATCAGCTTCCTTGGATTTTGCTGATGACACAAGAGAGCTTCGCCTGAAGATGGAAACGCTGGAGTCGGAGCTGACCTGCCCTATCTGTCTGGAGCTCTTTGACGATCCTCTCCTGCTACCCTGCGCACACAGCCTCTGCTTCAACTGCGCCCACCGCATCCTGGTGTCACACTGTGCTACCAACGAGGCTGTAGAGTCCATCACCGCCTTCCAGTGCCCCACCTGCCGGCATGTCATCACGCTCAGTCAGCGAGGTCTAGACGGGCTCAAGCGCAACGTCACTCTGCAGAACATCATCGACAGGTTCCAGAAAGCATCCGTGAGCGGGCCCAATTCCCCCAGCGAGACCCGTCGGGAGCGGGCCTTTGACGCCAACACCATGACCTCTGCCGAGAAGGTCCTCTGCCAGTTCTGTGACCAGGATCCTGCCCAGGACGCTGTGAAGACCTGTGTCACTTGCGAAGTGTCCTACTGTGACGAGTGTCTGAAAGCCACTCACCCGAACAAGAAGCCCTTTACAGGCCATCGTCTGATTGAGCCAATTCCGGACTCACACATCCGGGGGCTGATGTGCTTGGAGCATGAGGATGAGAAGGTGAATATGTACTGTGTGACCGATGACCAGTTAATCTGTGCCTTGTGTAAACTGGTTGGGCGGCACCGCGATCATCAGGTGGCAGCTTTGAGTGAGCGCTATGACAAATTGAAGGTTAGTCCGATCTGCCTTAAGCCAACCCCTTTCTGCCAGCATATGTCATGGAAATAAAAAGTGTATTCACTGCTAGCTACATGGCAGGTGAAGGTTTTCGCTTCACCTTTGTTATCTGATTCGTTGTAGCATGTTTTTGGCAGCCTATAATGTTACACAATAAGGGTATCTTGTAAAAGTGACTGCTGCTTGTAATTTTAGCGTTGTCAAGGTGAGGGCGATTTCTAAAAAACTGGATCATTTTCAATCCTTGCAGTTTTTCTGGATCATTTTCAACCCCTGCAGTTCTTGCAAAAAGAGTGTTGCCTCAGAGAGAGAAAGCAAGAGAGAGAGAGAGAGAGAGAACAAGAAGGAATGGCAGATAAAATCAGGCCTCGGGTATTGGGGGGGGGCTTTTATTTTCCTCACTTATCCAGGAAAACTCATTGTACCCGTATCTAGTTACTGCCCAAACAAAAGAATGGAAGAAGGAAGGTCTGTAGCAAATGTGGGATTTTAGAGGACACGTGGCCTTCTATTCCCTGTGTAAGTGATATCCAGCTTATTGGTGAGCTACAGTGCTCTGACAATCTCGGGTTTCACAAAAGAATCCCTTTTCGTGTAGGCTCTTTATTAGTAAGGTTACAGGCAAGGCTGTTTGAATTTCACTTTTAACATGAAATTATTAACCTGACTCTAGCTTGGGGGATAATAATTAATATGACTGTATGTCAAATAAAAAAATCACTCTCTAAATATGGATAAAAAAACACACGGGAATGGATAGAAAGCACCAGGGAAGAAATAAAAAGAAAAGTCTCCAGATGTCGGTTCAACTTCAGGCGACGGTGGGTCTAATTATTAAAAACTCAGCTGAGAGAGTCTGAGTGAAATACTATGTTCACCAGCTAATTTTAGATCACAAGACACCAATTAAAAGGAAAGGAAGTATAAATTAAAAGCTCTAAGTAAATAGATATTGAAGTCCTTCCTCTCAGGAAAAACACACACCATGTTGTTGAGCAAACAAGATGAATCACATGATCAAAAGAGTAGTATTGTCACTCAGAGAACACTGTCACCTTTAACAAATGGTTCCTATCTCTTCTCCTTAGCACTAATGGGTGGTTGTGTTTACTTGGGCCGCTTCATTTATTTTGTGGCTGTGGGATTAACAGACATCATCTGGGCTTCGTCTTTGCTCCTTCTTAATGTGCTGAGGGAAATTGACATGCTGGAGTGAATCCCTGCTTCTAAATGCCACTTGGGCACAAAAGCATCACCTGGGCAGAATGCCTCACTTCAGGTGTCCGAAGAAGGATTGGCACAAATCCATCTTCAACCCATGTAGAGGAAGTTAAGTGACACAGATGAGGGTGTTCTAGTGCAGCACACGGTGGTAGTGGAGAAAAGTTTCCCCGAAGTTAGCAATAGCAAAGGCAGTGCACCTATGAGTTTAACTCTAGAGTAAATTCTGCAGAAATACAGATGGCCATCACGTTTTAGAAACCCAGGTGATCTTTTTTTTTTTTTTTTTTTTTTACCTCTTTGTTTGTTGAAGGAGGAGGGTGTTGAGGATGATTGAACAGAGATGTTTGACTTTTGTTTTCCAAAGGGTAAACTGCTAGATTTTTTCTTTAATCAGAAATGTTCCTTTGATAGGAATAGCAGTAGCTTTTAGTTACTCTTTGTTAAAACACCATAATCATAATGATATTTGCTATTCAACAGGTCTCAGGTTTGATATTTAAATCTGCCAGTCGAGTTCTCTTCACTACTTGTGTACTGTCACAACAGAGTTATTAATTATTTACATAATGTCTCCAAATTTATGAGGAAATACTGTCATCCTCTAGCCCTTTTGGTGATGAAAATGAAACTCTTCAATTATAAGCCCCATACATGTGTCTAATCAAGCCAGTGGGTTGTAGATTGTTGATATTATCACAGGAAGGGCCTGACAATGAATAGTGCAGTATATTCTATTTTTTATATACTGAATTGTAAACATATAAACAGCATTCAATGTACTAAAACCCATTCATAGCTGTTCCACAAAATATGCATATGAGCATTTATAGCCGTTCAACAAAATGTGCTTAGGAGTATTTAAACACATAATATACTAGCGTGGCATATTCATTCTGAAACATGCTACTCATGTTAGAATATCAAAAATCGTAAGAATATATGACATTTGGGTGTCTGATGAACATGTGTACTTCCTTGTTTTATTTATGTAAGAACAACAGAAATGTTGGCTTTTTGAAAGAAATAATAGCATACAGAAAGGACAAAAACCAAGGAGTCAGAAAAAGTAAATATGCTATGTACATGTATTTTTGTGTAGCTCTAAGATCTCATATAGATAAGGATTTGTGATGATGGAGAAATGCAAAGCATGGAGAAATCTGAGGAGGTTTCACTGATAAAATGATAGATTTGCTTTACTTGTTTGGATTTGTAGAGACCCAGGTGTCTTCCGCTTGAAAATGTTTGTGTCTTTCTATTTGTAGAAGTGCATTCTATGGAGGGAGGAATTCTACATTGATTATGAAGAATAATTATTTCTTGGAAAAACATGAAAGTTTGGGAGACATTTTAAACTCAGACCTCAGTATAATAGATGTATGTTTACATAAAGAATTGGAATATAATTTTTTTCATTGCATTCTTTTTCTAAGCCTAAAAGCAAAAAGGAGATTAAAATTCCAACATGTAGAATTTATGCAGACAGAATCTTCTACATCATTTGAAATAGTGTCATGTCAATAATCAAATGCTTTTGGAGACTATGCATTGAGAAACACTCATGAAATATTGAAGCAAAGAGAAAATTAAACCAGCATTTTCTGAACTCTGTTTTCAGGTAAAAAAAGAAAAGTCTTCCTGCCAAATGCAAAGGTCTCTAAACGGAGCATATCGTAATGTGGGTCTTTTTTAAACTTCATTTTAATTGAATTTTAAGAAGCCTTTCAGCCCTCCAAACTTGTATTAAAAATTTGATTTGTGAACCACATAAGAGAATTTGGTTTAATGCATTCCAGAGTTTTCAAGGAATTAGAACGCAATCATTCCTCTTTTTCTGTTCCAATGTACAATGTTGGAGCTCTTGTTTCTTTTCTCTAGTTACACCTATAAAAATATACAAATTGGGGAAATTGACTTTCCCTTGCTCTTCAGTTTCAGCATAGCCCCTTCAGATTAGTGGAAGGTGAAGTTCTGAACCATTGTTCTGCTCTTCTGACTCTACAAGCTGGCCAAGGGAACTTGTTTGTTTAATGCAGGTTTCAAAGTATCAACACATTGTAATTTTTTTAATGGTTTGATAAAAAGTTCCAATTAAAATTCATCTCTCCTGTATAGTGGGTCTCATCTGGAGGGGAAGACATGAGATTGCACCTTTGGGTTTAATTTGTAGATCACAAGGGTCTATGTTTTTGAGAATCTTGCCTAATTTGTAATTGGAAAATTGAACAGTAAACATTTTTTTTCTTTTTCCTTAGAATTTGTATAACTTGGGGCCAGCAGATGGCATAATGGTTACATCACTGGACTCCCCCATAGTCAACCGTGGTTTGAGTCCTGGACCTGGTGACTTGAAACTCATGCCAGGCGTGTGTGTGTGTGCGCATGCCCAAATTCCTGAGAGGAGTTCATAACCTCACGGGGAATTCTAACAGCTAAATATTTCCTCTGTTGGTGGTGGAGGGAGACACAAAGGAAGGACACTGACCTCAGCCCTGAGAGATGGGGAGAGACTTCCCAGAAAAAGAGCTGTTTTCTGAGCTTTGCATTAGAAAACAATATTGAATTTATCAGATGTCTATAAAATCCCCATTTCCAGTCATTATTATTTTACTTCTTACCACATATGACATCCTTTGAGTAACCCTACATAATTTTTCAAACTAGTTTAAAATAATTCCAGGTTAGATTTTAATCTCAAATATAAGTGTAGTATATGAAATGTCACCATGTGGTGTGTGACTTAGTCTTATAAAACGTTTTGATTCTATGGGCTATCCCCAGTTGCATCTGACTCCTTCAAAATGCAATTCTAGTTGTGCTGTTTTTCTTCTTCTTTTTCAAAAACGCCTATTCCTCCATTTCTCCTATGAATAAGAGAGACAGAGCCAGAGAGATACAGAGATAGCATCCTACTAGGGTCTTGATGCCATGATCCACTCCAGCTTCAACCAGCTCCAGATCATAGACAAGTGCATGCCCAGGAGATCTCTGGACTCTAACCCAGAACCTTCCCATACGGGTCAGTGTCACAGGGTGTCAGGCTTTACTGCTGTGCCATTGTCCAGCTCCTGTTGGTGCTTACTTCATGATGACATGTCCACAGTCTGTAGTGTGTATAGTTTTTAAAGTCCTCGTGATGAAAACAAGGTTTCCAAGTATCTGTAAAATTTACTAAAACTGCATTTGAATTTTGTTAGCTTGTTACAAAAAATATTTATCATAGGGTAAAAGACAGCATCTGCAGGGTTATGTTTTTAATGGGAAACTCAAGGCCGCTTCCTTCCTCTCCTCCTCCTTCTCACCTGTCTACACCCCTCCTTCACCTGCAGAGAGAAATGTATTGTTGCCTGGTGATGATGATTATTATTGGAGTCATTTTTATTAAGCTGGGAGAGTTCCGGAAAATGCAGACAAGTACACAAGGTACCTCTTAGTCTTGTGACAGTGTCAACAAATATCATTCTTGGACACGTTGCTTAATGTTCTTGGATCACATTTTACTTGTCTATAAAGCATTCTGCTTGGCGCCGAGGAAGCCTGCAATGCACATCAGAACTCCTGTTAGAAGCCAGGAGGCAGAATGTAAATGGTTAAGTGTGTAGACTTTGGCAGTAGAATGACTGCCAAAGATTTTAAACCACTGCTCGTATTATTTTTGTGTGAGATGAGGGTCCACATCGTTGCTCTAATGGATTTTGTAGTTTTATTCTAAAGCACCTGGCAAAGGGCAGAGGCATGACAGTTGCTAAACACTCATTGATGGACATGTG